CTCCCCGCTTGCTCCCGAAAACAGGGCTGCAGGATGCAGAGGCGGGGGGGTCACAGCACAAAGCGCCTCTGTGCAGCACACCCCCGCGGGACCGGCATCGTGCCCTCGCGGGACCGGCACTGCCCTGCCGCTGCCGTCGCTCTGCAGACAGACACGATCCAGCCACCCACGGTCCCGACCACCCCGGGGGGGGGCTGGGGGTGCCAACCCTCCCAGCTGGGGGGAGCCTGGCAACGATGGATACAGGAGCTATGACCCCAAAAAACCCCTATTTTAGAGGATGGCGCTGCAAACGGCGCTGAAACCTGGAAAATTATGAGGAGAAAGGTCTCATGGGGCATCCAGGGACCACGCAGGGTGGGAGTGCTGGGGTCTTGCCTGTTTTTGGGAGGGGAGGGAAGCGCTGGGCAGCAGGAGGGCAGGGTTAGGGATCAGACGTACTCCCGAGCCGTTGAAGGCTGCGACTGCCGGTAGTACTGCTGTCCTCGCTGCTCCTTGGCAGGGCAGGAGCAGCACAGGAGGGAGCCCCCCAGCACGGTGAGGCTGGCGGCCCCCCAGCCGACGAAGAGAGCCGAGCCGAATTCGTACCTGCGGCAAGAGAGAGAGGGAAGGAAGCATCAGGGAGGGGGGGCAGAAAAGGCAGAGGTGCAAATTGAGACGAGGACCCCATGGACACAAGGATGCTTGAAACCCTGACAAGGCTACGGGCGATGTCGAGGCAGATGTTGGGTCTTCTTCTCCCTGGCCATCCCCATCTTTCACGTTGGCTGGATCCAGCTACTAGGTTTCCCCGTGCTTTAATCCTCCCTTGGGCTGAAACTCCATGTGAGCGTTCTTACTCTGTCCCAGCGCAAAGTCGGCAGTGGTACCGACTAAAGCTTTAGCTTCAGGGAGATCTTCTGCAACATGGCAGCTGTGGGGTGACGTAGGTCCCACCCCGTTTGGCACATCTGCCCACGACTCCGCACGTTGCCAAAACCGGCAAGGGAAGGTCCTATGGGAAGCGCAGGGACAAGCTGGGATTCAGAAAAAGAGCATCCCTTGAGCCGGGCTCTTACCTGGCGTTGATGGGGACGGTGCTCTCTCTGAAGAACTCATAGGTCACCTGTGCTGCGTACAAGGACACGGCAGCCAATGTGCACAGACCTGGACATAGAATCATAGAATTATAGAATGGTTTGGGTTGGAAGGGACCTTTAAAGGTCATCTAGTCCAACCTCCCTGCAATGAGCAGAGACAACTTCAACTAGACATCAAACGTTGAACATCAGCAACACCCAGCCCATCACCAAACCTCTCCCCTTCCTCCATCAAACGGCTTTTAAAAGGTGTTTGAGGTCTTCTGCCTCAGAGAGGTGCAAAGGCTGGAGCTGCCTTACCGGAGAGGATGAAGAGGACACCTCCAGCAACAGCGATGCGGCTCTTGGTAACAGGATCCTCTTCGCCAACTTTGGTGCATTTCATGCCCACCACGCTCACAATGATGCCGAAGAATCCCAGGAGGAGAGAAATCACCATGAGAGCCCGGGAGGTCTGGATATGAACTGCAAGCAGGGCGGGGGGGGGGGGGGGGGAAAGACGCCGTTTCAACGCTTCCTTTTCTG